AATCTTCTGCAAAAATGCGGAAGTATTCTTGTCATAGTCACATTCTCCCCTATGCGCAGCCTACCTTCCGACTAACTGCCTCTTTACTAACTCTCATCTGAATCTAACCCCATAGTCAAGGTCGTCGCCCTAAAAAAACTCCCATCTCGATTTTTCTTCAACTCGATCCCATTAGGAGTCGAGTGCACCAGCTCGTTCTGACTGCGCAAGTCCGGCCTCTGCCATCCCCTGTTCATTCCGCATGAATCTAACCCCACGTGCCGTCCCGATTCACTCACCTCTGCTAACTTCTATTCTACTAACCTACCCTCCATTCTAACTCTACTACCCAACTCGCCTTGGCAAGAAAAAACAGAATCACCCCTTTTCCCGCCCGAATCCGGCCAGAAACGAGGGAGATGAGTATTTTCTCATCCTGCTTCCTTCACACTCCCGCCATATCCCACGCAGCTCCTTTCTCATGTAGCAACCCATTCACTTCCCCACCGCCGAACCTGGCCGCGCCATTCAACTCGCGGTCTCACAAAACCCCCACTTACCACATTTCCTCACTCGAATCCATCAAGGATTGAGTGAGATATAGCACTTCTGCTCCCGCTGGTCCATCCGCTGCCGCACACGGCGGCCCGTCTCGCTCCCCGCCTTATCCCGTCGGTCTTTCTGCCCGGTTACCGCCCGCCTCGCCGCTACCTGCCACCTGCTCTATACTCCACCCCTCTCCAACCCAGATGCACCTAGCCCGGCTCCCACCCGGGTCCACTCCCACCTCCTACTGCCTGTCGCTCACTGCCCGCTGCCTCCCCGGGCAACGCCGCTCCCTTACAGCGCCGTATCCGACCTTCCCTTTGCCACCCCAGCGCCCGTGCTGTAGTGGCTAGCCGGACGGTAGCACCCGCCTAGCTCCTTCATATCTCCTGCCTCAGCCCGCATGCACCTGGCGCGTCCTTGCGTCGGGGTTCATCTCTCCCTGTTTCGTGTTGTCGTCCCCAGAGCCCTGGAACGCACCTCTCAATCGCTCTGCTGCGTTCGAACAAACCGGGTGCCGACCTCGCGAAATCTCCGACAACCAAATGGAGGGATGAGGCGCGCCACCCGACTTTTATACATGCTGCACTGCGCACGGGCCAGCCCAATCCTCCCCCCTCGGACACACGCGGCGCAGACGTCCGCCCGGTTCCAACCACCCCTCCGCCGCTTCATGCCGTGGCCTAGCACCCGCTGCGCACCGTCCTCCACATGCATCCGGCTCTATTCCACACCCGGGTTCGCCCCCCTCCACCTTAACTGCGGCGCCAAGCAACTGACCCGACAACCCTCGAGCGGAAAGAGCAAAAAAACAGAAAAACTCGGCTGCCGGCCTCCCCAGCTCTATCCCTTTTTGCGCTCGCACACACCCAGCCTCGTCCCCCGTCCAAGTTCACTCCCGGCCTCCTCCGCTGCACTGTCGTCTCGCCCACAACCGCGCTATACCGGCTGGCCAACTCCGCCGCCTCCTCGCAACCCGATGCTTTAGAGCTACCCAGCCTCGCTGGGTTGTGTACGGATCTGGCCCCTTTTCGAGGCCGGGTTCAGACAGGTGCGTCCGTTGTATACTACCAACCTCAGCCATCGCGAGCACCCTGGCCCGCTAGCCCTCACCTCGTTTTAACGGATACCCCGATGGGGCTAGCCGCGACAGTATCCCATCCGTGGTCCTTCAAGACCCGAACAACCAAACACACTGTCGCAAATATATAAAACCAAAAATAATATAAAACAGAATACCATATATATATATAAAAATCCCAGACCAGGGGCGGGAACTGTCGGTACTTCACCGGTCCCGTGGGTCGGGTCCGTTACCACGCCCATCACCAAAACCAAAAGGGAATAGCCCCCGTCAGGCCCTCAACCCCCTCAATTTCCTTTGTAGCACTTTGCTGCCACAGCACCACCCACCAGCCTGGATCCCTACACCTCGGTAGCAATAGTCTAGCATTGTAACCTATAGGGCTAAGCCCAAGCTTGGTATAGTAAAGCGCGGACCTCAATATGAAATGGCGCCGCGCCGTGCCTACTCAGACCTCATTGCGGCCATCCCGCGCACCTACCGGCGCGCCGGCCCTACTGTCGGTCGCACACGCCAACCAAGAACAAACCTTTGCCCCTTAACCAACCTATGGCACGATCCCGGGTTGGCCGACTAGGCCGGCCGCCCACTCAATCAGAAAAATCACACGCGCGCCTTAATATTGCGCGCCCACATACCCCCTAACTTAGTTAGGACGAGTCCCGAACTCCGTCGCACCTTGCCCGGCTTATGCCGACCAAACCCATTTTTCTGTCATTTGCAAAAACCAGGGCGGATACCCTTGTAAGGGTATTCGCGCGGACAGCCTACCGGACTATATTAAGCGACGTTCCCGTCGCTATGCCAAATCAGAAATCTACAAACTCATTCACGCTTCCAAATGTTGACGAGAGCAGAACCAATTCCGATTCGCCGACAGACTCAGGGTTGAGGCCTCCAACACTCCATGCCGACATAACTATATGCTGCCAGGGTTTCAATCCAGGGTTTCTGTTGTCCTGACACTAGGCCGCAAGTGTATTACGCATCAATACTACAGCATAAGTTCCAAAGGCCACCTCAAACCGTCCTTTCCCCTTCGTCCTAGACAAACGCCGACGTTTCGTTAGGTGTCCCAGTTAGACTCTCTGTTACAAGCAGAGTCATACGGGGACGCGGGCCTTAGACGAGACCTAAGAAGGCACTCTCGCCTCCCCCGCGAAAATCCTCACAATCAAACATATATATATGTATACGTAGATCTCCTCTCAGCTCTTTCTGCAGTCTAGTACAGAAACGCTAGGTCTCCATCCTGACCCACCATAGTCTGGTTGATCGAGCCAGATCTACGGCCTACCGCATTGTTATCTTAGCGGCAGTCCCTTCGTTGGTTATGCAACAATAGGTTTTCTCCTGATAGGCATTCAATCAGGGCGCCCAAAGGACTCAACTCGTATCCCCCGCCATTCTACCAGAGTAATTTCCTTGGGGCGAGCATAACCTCTTAAGATCTTACTCTGCTGGTAGACGTGGGCCCGCAACCAGGTTGTGCTGGCTTGCAGCCATCCAATAGGGGTTGCGCCCTAGGGGTGCTATCCTTTACCGTCTAGCTTGGTATTCCTCAGTATGCCTTAGGATTAACACATGTGTCTAGATGGTGCGTCGCAAAACAGACCACAGGCCCACTTCGGGACTACGCAGGGGTCTGTCTCACTTTAAAGGCGTTTACCAGCTCCCAATGAAACGTCATAGAAAGCATGGCCCCTTTTCACAATCATAAACAGGTTCACCGCTAGGCTCACACAAGGCCGTGGCCTGCTGACTTGATTAGAGACAACAGACCACACATCCCACGACATTTTTATGCACTGACTTGCGACCTTCTCGGTTCCACCAATGGTTCCAACTCGTAACCCTGGTTCCTCTCGTCAGACCATTTCACTCAAACATTGCTTACCATGTCATTAAATCCATTACCCACTTTCCACATGAAGGGGGTCTCCCTTAATAGGTCTCCCAGTCATCCCTCTCTTCTTATAGGATGGATTATCACGCGACCTCGGTTATATAACCGTCAATAACCAGCATTCCCACCCTCCATAGTCTGAAGGGGGTCTCCACCATAGAGCAACTCAATGAGGGCCTACTTAGGGGTCCTCTTTGTCAACTCATACGCAAAACAACTCAAACTGGGGGACCAACTTATGGGTCTCTTTCACAACTTAGCCATAAACATTCAGCATGGTAAGCATTCGAGTCTTATAGGCACGCAAGACCCCTTAGGGTCCTCACTCATCTGTCACCAAACAGCCTCGCTGCCTCCCCTTATACTCGGTCATTTCACCCGCCCATGGGCAGGTCGCACGAGTATACCGAAGAGTAGACGGCAATCACAATCACATAATACACATACATGAAATGTATCCCACACATCTCTCACACAAAACCCTCATTCATTGGGATAAAGCCACACATGTGAGAGTGATCGTGATCGTCACAAAAGTAAATCCCACAGAGGGTGAAATCAAAATATACTCGGGAGCAAAATATTTCCCTCAAGTCTCAATACAACACTCAACTCAAACTCTCACGGTCACAATTCCTAGGATATACCTAGGAATAGGATGCCCGCCCTAGTGAACAACTCAACACTCAGTTCCCTGTACACTCTACAGGGTGGACTCACACCCCAAGTGTTATGGCTCTCAGGATCCAATCAGAAATGTAAAGAAGGTTTCCAAACCTCCAAACCTAATGTACAAATCACACAGTCACAGGTATCTCACAACTAAATTTCACCCGCCGAACTGTATCATACACAAACCCCAATGACCAACTGAGCCCCGCCACCTATGTATGTACAACTAGACAAGACTCCCAGGGCGAGCTCAGACGTGCGCACCCCTTAGGACCCACTCAACCGACTCCGAGTACGTACATCTCTAACCCAACCTTTGGGTATAGAGGAACTCTAGTCCTACTGTCATATAGACATGCCAGCCTCTACTCACTCATGGTCTCCTGGTTCTGCCTATACAATTGTGCCCTACCCCCATCTGGAGCCCGCTCTACCACTCGCCCCTATCTGTCGTACATCCTCCCACCACTCTCTGTCACTCTCCCATCCGCCTTGTCCTTAAGGAACTTCGGGCATTCAAGAGCCCTATGTACGTCGACACCTCCTCTTCTTCTTCTGGGACCCAGGCAATGACGGCGTCTTGCTAGTTTCCCTGCTCATCTCGTGGCTCTGGGGCATACTCCATGACTCTGTCGGTCCTGCCTCCACCATCTGGGTACTCGGCCCTACTAGCATCTCATCTCCCTTGGGTCGATACGTTGGAGTGTCCAGTCTCGGTGGCCTACCCTCACGGACTCCTCCCATGGCAGTCGCCCCCTCATCCCCATGCAGGTCAGAAGGCTGGGGAGTCACGACAGTCGCTGGCTCGCTCATAACTTCCTGCTGCTGCTATGAGATGTGCTCTCCTGAGTCAGCTCCAGTAGCCTAAGAGCTTAACTGCGTCCTCAGCTCCCCTATCTCTGGCACGCGCTCCGGGGTCTCCTGCCTCTGAGGCCCTCCTGACGGCATGTCCAGCTCCATGGCTGCCACCAACTCGTCCAGTCGAGACGCCTCTCCCCCCATTACCTCCGGCTCAGTGGATGCTGCTGCTCCCGTAAGGGCACCCTCCTGCACCTCCAAAAGGATCATAGGGGACTCCTCTGTGGGGCCCCCCTCCGCCACTGGAGATTGGGGTCTCTGCACCGGCTCGTTCCCAGGAGTCTCAATCGTCATAGGGGTGGCCTGTTGCGAGGCCAACTCCGTGAGAGTCCTGAAGCTGAACCTCCTCTCCTCGGCCTCCCGCCTTGCCGCCGCCTCTGTTGAGTCCAGGAATACCTTTCCCATTCCCTCTTGTTGTGGCGTCTCTGTCGTTCCTTCCTGGTCGAAGAACCCCTGTACCTCCTTCCCCTGGATACCATATCGACTTTGCTCCGTCCATTCGACCACCTTAGTGGCCGAGAGCCTCTCTACCATTGCCGCCATGTCCTGGAGCCTCTTCTCCCATTCCGCTTCCTTGACTTCCATATGGGACCTCCATGCTTGGTTCTCTTCCCTCTCTTCTGCCAACTGGGTGGACAACTGTCCCACCTCTAACCTCAAGGCCGCCAACTCATCGCTGAGCATGGAGTACCGTTGGAAGGACGAGATCGCCACCTCACCTATCCTCCTATCTGCACGCTCAATCTCCATCCTGGTGGCTGAAAGTCCCAAGTCCCCTGTCTCTCGTGCCTCGTCCACCCTCGCATTCTCTTGTCCCAACTCTCGTGACCTCAGGCGAGCAGCATCCCTCTTACCCTCATAGCTGGCCCAAGCCTCGCTAATCCTCTGTTCGCTCGTCGGAGGGTCAATCGGTGGCTTCGACGCTTCTCCTGCGGCCTCCATCCTAACTTTCTCCTGGTATAACTCCTCGAGGCGTACCTGCACCCTCGCGCGCTTCTCTTCTTTCGTCTCCCTGATGGCCTCCTTCCCCGCGCCTCGTGGGCTTCTCGCAGTGGGTCTCTCTCACTCGTCCCCTCCTCTGTGGGCGGCGGCCCTGGCGGAGGCTCCCTGGAGGTCGGCACCTCCACATCCATGCGTGCGCCTGTAGGCTCAGCTAGTTGCGGCACCACAGTAGTAGGTGTCCTCGCCCTCTCGCCCTCCTCTGGCTTCTCCTGCGTCGGGGGTGGCGTAGTAGCTGCCGATGGCGACCCCAACATCTCCTCGCTGTCCGACTCAGGAATTCCTTCAGGCCAATACTGCCGCGTCTGCTCCGGAATCGGGGCAGGGGGAGGGGTATCATCCCCAGTCGTGATAACCCCCTTAGTCTGCGGCTCCTCGGGCCCACGAGACCCCGCCTCGGGCCCCGGCTCAGGTGGCCCCTCCTCTGGCTCATCCTCTACTGGCTTATACCGTGTCGGTCCGCTCTGGTCCGCTCCCAGCTGTGACGCCCCCACTGGGACACATCGAGATGAGCCTCCAACCTGTCGAGCGGCGTCCTCAATGGCACCGCCTCTCCTCCCTCCGGTAACGTCGGCGACGGGCCCCGTAGATCACTGTCCGTGACTCGGCGAAACTCCACCCGCTCGAGTCCATAGGTAGGGGGTAGCTCTGCCGTCTGAGCTGGCCCTGCGGCCTGAACCAGCTCCACCGCCTGGGCGGCCTCTGCTGGCCCATCTCGCTGTGCCAAGGCCTTTCGGCCCCCTCTGGTCGTAGTGGCCCCTATCGCCTCTGGGCCCCGTGACCTCTTACTCGTATGTTGTCTCTCCACCCTGGGCTTTGGTCTCTCGGGCTCCAGTCGTCGAAATGCCTACCTCAATTGGGCCTGGCAGTCCTCCCAGTCGCGTGCCCTATCCCGGATCTGCCTCACCAACGACCTCTCCGCCCTCCGCGTCCAGAGGGGTAGCATCTGCATCCACTCCTCCTGCCCAGTTCCTTGGTCGCGCATATACTGCTCATAGGCCGGAATGAACTCCTCCACATTGCCTTCCTCCAATCGAATAGGCAACCCATCCGGCCCCAACGGCGAAGCCCTCAGCATCTGCATCCTCGCCTCCACATCCTGCCAGGTCAAAGCCTCCTCCCGGATGTGCGCAATAGACTCCTCAAAACGCCTAACTCCTCTCAGGTGTCGTATCCTCTCCAAGGTAGACCAACCCTCCCGTGCCGCATGTGCCTGGTAGGAGTCCAGAAAGAGCTCTATGTTATCATCGTCGAAGACATGCATAGACTCCCTTTCAGATGGTCAGTGCGAGTCATGGTCAGCGCGAGTCATCCCCTCCTGTTGCTCCCCGAGGCCTCTGTCGTGGCCGCGCGCCCCTCCCGCCTCTCTGCATGGCTGTCTTTGAAAAGTCAGACGTGCACAATAGGCGAGAGAAACGCAAGCAGACACACAACAAGGTTAGCCCTCTGTTCATCGAGTTCTTATGATAACACACATGCCTTTTCCTACTCCATCACCCGCCTTAACCATAACATGCAACACCTCAAGGACTAGTCCACTTTGAAGGTAAAATTCTTTACCTATTCCCTGGCCACGAATTTCTTCAGCCTGGTCCCTGATACCCAATCCTGCCAGCCTGTCCCGTCCAGCTCCTCGCTCTGATAGGCCCCAAATTCGCCACATCGCAAAATTCTATAGGGGCCCATCCATCTCTTGTCGAGCTTCCTCGACCATTGCTTCTCCAAAGAGGAGTCGTATAGTAACACGACGTCCCCCACTGCCAACGGCTCCTTCCTTACTCCCGCCATCTGGTCCCATCTCATCTTGTCTTCCATGCGGCTCCTCTCTACCTGACCGGCGGCCTCTCGCAGTCTTTCCTCGACCGCCCTCACTTGCCGTGCCCGAATATCGAGCAGTTCTTTGAAGGACAGGTTTACTTCTAAGTCTTGGCGCCTCCACGTCTTCATAAAGTTTTCTATGGGAAAGGTGGCGTGCCTCCCATACCACAGTGTGGCTGACGCGTACTTGGTAGTCCTCTTTACAGTAACATTCTCCACGAAGAAAGCTGCCCGTAGGAACTTTGGCCACTGACCAGGATTGCCCTCTGTCCACTTAGCCAGGAGATTCGTGATGGTACTGTGTCCCCTCTCCACAGGAGCGTTCGCTTGAGGGTGCACGACCATAGTATAGTCGGTCACTACGCCATACCCTGCAAGCAACGTCCTCACCTCATTATAGGTAAACTCTGATCCTCGATCCATCACGAACTCCTTGACAAAAGGATATCGCAGGTAATACTCCTCGATGCAGTTCGCCAAAACCGGGTCAGTCTTCGTTCGGATAGCTCGTCCGTCCACAAACCCAGTAAGGTTATCCCGTGCATCGAAGATGTAGTTACACCCATTCTCCCCTGCTGGCATGAATAACAGGTCCAGGTGTACGACCGCACCCACTTCCCTTTCCAACCTTGGGTGTAGGGGCTCACCAGACCTTTGCGCTAACCTCTCTTAGCAAGGTATACAAGACCGACAGTATTTGATAACCATCGTCAGCATCCCATCCCAATGGTAGAGCTCGCTTATATTCGCGTGTGTGGCACCTACTCCTATGTGTCCCCCTGCTATACCATCGTGTAGGGCTGCTATGATATCAATTTGCCGGTTTCTCCCACGTACGATCCTCTTGGGGTTCCCGACCTGCCACTTTATGAATAGATGACCATCTCTTACTACGTAGAGGTGCCTCATCTTCTGTGCTTTGGCACTTGCATCTCTATCCCTCATCTCACATGATAGGAGCAACCCCAATTCCCGGTAGATCCCATCGTACTTCTCCGCCCGAAATGCCTCCTTGATTTCTCCTTCCTCGAACTCGTCGTCCTGGCTTTCAGGAACTAGAATCTCATTTTCCTCATGACTGAACGAGCCTTTCCGGTCAAAGTCTCCTTGCAGGAGCGTATTAGCGAGCAGGTACATCCCCCCCATTAGCTGCTCATGCTCCTCAACCTGACTGGGGCCTTCTTCTATCATCCTCATTTCCTCCACCAGGCTGTGCGTTCCTGCCAATGCCAATTTCATCATCCAACCAACATCCTTGCTCCCCCATGGATCCTCCTCCTGAAAGGGCTTGAGGACCAACTCTTCCTTCTGCTCGTACTCCTTTGGCGCTAGCCATATGGGGTGGCTAACGCAACTGGGTACTCGTAGGGACCACTCGTTTATATGCAGGCGGACGTCCTCCTCTTGGTCCAAAAACCCATCAACTGGTGGGGCGTCTTCTATTGATTCCTGGTCCGATTCGTCCCAGTTAATGCGGCTTAACCCATCTGCCCTGTTCTTGTTCCCTGGGATCCTTTCCAGCTCGAAATTAAACATCCAAATGTAGGTCAACCATCTTGCGACGGTTGGGTCGGATGGAGTGTAATTTTTCAGGGAGCATGCAAGTGCAGTGGGGTCCACCCTCAAAATGAGCCTCCTGCCGAAAACATAGTTCCGGAAGGTCCTCGGGCAATGAAGTACTGCCAGCGTCTCCTTCTTGAACTGAGAGTAGTTCCTCTCAACTGTATTGAGAGTGCGACTTTTGAACCTTAGTGGCCTCTCCTTCCCTTCAGTGTCTGCCTGAATCAGGACTCCTCCTAAGGCAGTTGGCCCAGCGCCCATCTCAATGACGAATGACCTTTCCTCCGTGGCCTCATAGTTTGGCGCTCCCAGTACCAAGCCCCCTTCCTTAAACTCTCCCTTCATCCTACCGACCGCCTCTTCCTGTTCTTCGCCCTAGACCCATTCCTGATCTTGACGCACCAACTTCCTTAAATGCTCCGTCTTCATGGTGAAGTTCTTCACGAAGCTCCTTCAAAATCCGCACGTCCCAAGGAAGCTCCTCACATCTGTTATCGAGCGGAAGGGCACCGACCACTCAAGAATCTTGTCTCTTTTCTTTACAGCAGGCCTTCGCCCACTCTCATTACAGACAAAACCTAGAATCGTGGCCTCCCTCATACAATGTTTTGACTTGGGGCCGCTTGCCGTCAGGTTATGTTCCTCCAATAACCCCATAACCTGATCGATGTGTTGGACATGCTTCCAGACAAAACGCCGCACACCGGGCATCACTTCGTCTTCCTCTTTCTCCTTCGGACCTTTGACCGCCAGGTCATCGATATAGGGCTGGGTGATATGGGGACTGACCGTCTGCATGGCTCTGATCATATGCCTCTGCACCATCGCTACTGCATTCGTCCAACCTTGAGGCGCCATGTTCATGTGAATCAACCCTCTAGGTGTGTGCATCGCCGTTACAGGCCTGTCTGGCGAGTATACAGGGAATTGGTCGTTCCCAGAGTAGAGGTCTATAAGCGAGATTATAGGTCTCCCTGCGCACGACTCTGACAGCGCGTCCGCGTTCGGCAACCCTCCCGCGTCCCGCACTGTCACCGCATTTAGCCGCTGCAAGTCCTGCACCCACCTTAGCGTCCCATTTGGTTTAATAAAACAAAACCAAGGCGACGCGTACGGTCCACTGGAATAGTCGGCCACGTGCGTCCGCATCTTGCCGTCCAGGTAATCCACCACCTTCTTCTCCTCATCCGGATTTGGGTATCGTGCGCCCCTTAGATTCCACGACTCATGTGGAACAGTGTGGATTCGTATCATCGGAATCTTGTCCACATCCAGCCTCCCACGCTCGTCGTCATTGAACGCATATGCACGGTGTCTTTTCTTCATCAGTCCCACCATGAACGCTCTCTCCTGGGGCGACAGGAAGTCGGACTCCCCGATTATCAACTTCCCCTCATTCTCGTCGTTGATACGGCATGGCCCGGCCAACCCGTGCTTCCGCATACGCCGTATCAATCCTCGTTCCCGCTCGTAGTAGGCTTCGTCATCCTCCGTGACGAGCACGGGAACTGGGCGACACTTCTTATCTACGGTCTTGTACCGCCTTTGGGAGCCCTGCTTAAACCCTCCCCTAAAAAAGGTCGACTTGTCGTTCGGGCCTGGGCCATTGTAGGGCCTCCTCCCCCTCTGGGAAGCCGATACACCAACTCCACCTCTCCCACTTGAGGGTTCTCCAAAACCTGCTCCCTCAATGCCTTAATAACCTCCGGATCCTCCATGTCATGAGCCGACACCACCTCCATGGCCTTATTCACATCTATGACGCTTAGTGTCAGCACCTCAGCCTTATCCTCCTCCTCAGGCACATCCCAAAGCCGTCTTCGCTCGTTCTCCGATTCCTCGAAGGTGAATGAATCGAGATTAAGCCTATTCCTCCCGCTCCCCGGCCCCGTGTTTCGGCAGGTGACAACTTCGTAATTCCCGCACGCTGGGTCACATAGGAGCAAGATCATTGTCCCGTCGTGCTTATTAAAAATCAACATCTCCGTTCGACACAGGAACGACCTTCCCAGAAGGATGGGATGATCGACATCGGGCATGACAAAGAAGCACGTCCTGGCTCGCACCTTCCCAATCTCTATAATTACATTAGACGCCGTGCCGCAAAAAGCGGCCTTGCAGTTGGCGCCATGCAGCATGCCATGGTCCGAGCGGTCGATCTCCATGCCTATCATCACCGCCTCCTTCTCCCTGATGATATTCATTTTTGCGCCCGTGTTCCCCCTCCTTCTCTCTTACCCACGCTCCATTCTCTGTGTCCTCTATCGGATGGCGCAGGAGGGGCTCGACACGGCGAGCGGGAGGCGCTCCCCGAAGATCGCAACTAGTCGGGCCGCCGTTGCTGTGAGCTTTCCCACCTTATTGAGGTATGTGCTTGTCGTGCCGACAGCTCTCGATCCAACGAAGGCGCAGCGCCCGTCCGAGCAGAGGCTTGTCTTGGTTGAGCGGTAGATGCGCGGCACCACGGACGCGGGCGCTTCCCGGATCAGCCCTTCTCACGATCTCTGTCCCTCCCTCTTCGGCTATGGTCGTATCTCCTCTCCCACTCTTCCCCTTTTCCCTCACTCTCTCTCTCTCTCCCTCTCTCTCTCTCTCTACCTCTTTCCTCTCTCTCTCTCTTTCTGTTTCGTGTCTGTGGTCCCTGGTTGGCCTCTCTCTTCTTGACTAATCGCTCCCCTTTTCTCGACGGATACAGCCCGTTGTAGAGCGCTTAGCGCACCTCCCAGCTCGCGGGCGCACACGTGCGCTAGGTGTTCACTCCCTTGCCTTCGACCTCCGTGGACGACAACGGCGCCGTCCCGCAAGCGTTAACGCGAGCGCAAGGGTACGTCCCTGCGAACGCGCATTGGGGACTACTCCTGACTTCGTGCGTGTGCCCCGTACGCCTCAAGACCCGAGCGCTCGAACGCGCGTGATCGCCTTTTTGCGCCCGAGCACATGGACACGGCCCCCTCGTTCTCGAAATCTCCCGCGCCCTCCGCACGCTCGTACGCCGCCCCTCGTCGCTCTCTCTACCTCACTCTCCCCCGTGCAGTTGGCGCTATCTCCTTCTCTCCTACCTCCTCCTCTCTCTCTCCCCCTCTATCCTTCTCTCAGGCGCTAAGTTCGCAGCGGACGTCGAATTGGCTCTCGAACGCCCCGTGTGTCTGCGTGCGCCTCCCTTTCTCTCCCCCCTACGCCCTTCTCATACTCCTCGTCCAGCCGAGTCTGTCGCTCTCTAACCCTCCCACCTCCATTTTTGGCGGCCAGTTCGAAATTTTTGTTTCCATCGCCCGCTGACCCCATCTATCCTTCAATCCTTCGCTCCCTTGTTCTTCCAATCCCCACGGCTTCTTTCTCCCGCTCTCTGGTTCTTCCAATCCCTCGATCCTCTGCTTCCTTGTTCTTCCAGTCCCGTGCCCCGGTCGCATCACCCCGGCATCCAGCCTCCTCCTTCTTTTTCCAAGAAAGCATCCCCTTTCTCCCGCCTTCGCGTTCATCGGGTCCTGCTCTTTCACTCTCTCTCCTTCCGTCGGCCAATGCGTGAGAAATTCGTTCTTACCAAATTTTTCGTTTTCCCGCTACGCTCTCACCAAACTTTTGACGGCTGGTTTCTTTTCCGAAGTCATCCTCCCGCGTGATCTCCCTCGCTCCCCAATCTTCCTCTCCTCTTCATCGGTCCGACCATGCATTCCTGCTGCTTCAAGTTGGAAATTTGTTCGCATCTCTCCCCGGCCCCTGACCAGGTACATTCCCGAGAGCCCCTGTCGCATTCTTCCCCCCCCCCTCAAGACCTCCTCGCCTTCTCAATCTCAGCCCGTCGAGTAGACTCCCGCTGATTCCACTCTGATTTTTCGAAGTCCCCCCCCCCGATCTGCTAGCGACTGTCCTCGCTTTCCTCGACCATGCCTGAATCGTCCCCTTTCCCTCTCGACCAATCCCCTCTTTCGATCCTTGGATCTCTCCAGATCCCCATAACAGAACACCCCCTTCTTTCCTCCAAACTGTCTTGGTTGGCCATTCGGTTTCCTCTCTTCTCTCTTCCCAACTGTCTCGCTCGACCATTCAACTTCCTTCCTTACTCTCTCCTACCCCACCCATAGACCGAAGTAGTGGCACGATATGAGCGGATTCAAGCTCGAACCCTGACTTTCTTTTTCCTTTCTTCTCCCTTTAGCCGGACGGTTGAGGCTCCGGTTAGTCCTGACCCCACCGCTTTTCCCTTATCATACTCCCTGGCCTGCCTTGACTCCATCCCGGCCCCACTTCCTCTTGAGGCGGAGGGCTGGTCTGAGGTGGTGATCCTCTGTTTATTTCGGGCGTCGGGCTCAACTACCCGATCTCAGTTTTGCGTGACCAAGTTCGCAGCCGTCCATCCTGCATCGTTCGACCTTTGAAGGAAATGACCGTTCTTGGCCCCGTTCATACCGCGGTAAGGAAGACGTCTTCAGAAACAAGCCACGTCCACCCGCAACGTGGTCACGTCAGCCACATCGTCCCTCCCTGCATTATGAAGCTCCCTCTCGCAGGTCAGACCACGGGAGGTCGCCGCGTCGCGACTCATCTCGGTAGGGGCTCTGGCGTCCCCCCCCTTTTGCCCTCGTCGACCAAAGACGAGTTCAGGCTTACACCGAATTGACCTGCCCGCTCCGCATTTTCCGATTTTGTCACCCGAAACTCAAATCTTTATGATCCGCCTGAGCCCGCTTGCGACCAAGGTTCGGACCGTCACTCCAGCCAAAAGACTGGTTAGTACGACGACTCGGATGCCCGAGGACTTCCATAAACACAGATCCTTGTGCATGCACTCGTCAAAACCAAGCAAAAACAGCAAAGAAAAGGAAAAAAATGTTTTTAATTTCAAAGAAAAAAACCTTCGGTTGGTGGACAGCCGCCCGACACCGGGTTATCCACGCAATAGGTGTAGTACCAATGGAGTGACCTAACGGAGAGTTGCCACCCCTTTTCCCTCACTATAGACCGTATTATCCTGTCGTACGGCTCCTCCTTCCCGCTCACCCTTCGGAAAACGAATGATGGGAATATGGTCCTAACGCACCCTGTGGCACGGGGATATTCTTCGTCTAGCGCGCAGGTCACTCTCACCTCGATGGGTGGGCTATGCCTAAGGGATTCAGCCTCAAAGATCAGCCTCAAAATCGGACCAGCCCGTGCCTCCCAATGATCCGCACGGTACCACCCCAGGACCAAATGAGTGACGTACTCGACCCAAGCTTCCTTACTCAAGTAGACTGTTCCTTCCGCACGGATCACTGCTCGCCTGGGTCTCTTTCTGTTCTGGGGCCTGTTCCAGGACCACCTGTCCCCCTCCCAAGTCCCCACTGCGAAACGAGCCCAGAGAAAAACCCCTTGCTCTAGCTCTACCCCCCTCTCGCGAACGGCTAGATATCGCTCCGTGCGGTCGTCCAAGGGGACGCTGAAGCACTCTCGGTCTTTGCTTAAATCAGCTTTCTCAATCCGAACCCCTTCTTCTTCAGTACCCTCTATGATTCTAACCATCCCCTAGGACTATCTTCTCTATGATTTGAACTAGCGCTCTCCACTCGTCCGACCTGTCCAGAAAGGCGTCCGGAATAGTGGGGACTGACCTTCCCCCTCGCGGATACGTCCGGTACCCCAACGAGTAGAAATAGTTAATTTCGTAAGCCCCTAGCAGCTGCCTCTCAAGCTGCGCGTGACCGATCGCTTCCTCCCAGCTATCCAAATACCCCGCTGCTCTATCTACTCCCTCTTCCACGTACAAGGCTATGTTGAAGTGCCCGGTCCACCTGTAAAAGGTATAGCACCAAACATCTACTCCACCTATATCACCCATACTAATCCCCGCGGGCTCAAACTCCAAAGGCCTCAAGCTCATGGATCCGCCGCTCTCACCATATGCTTCACTATCTCTACTAGTACTTTCCATCCATCCGACCCATCAAGATAAGCATCCGGATTTACCGGCGCCCGGCGACCACCTCTCGCGTAGGTACGATATCCTAAAGAGTAAAAATACTTGAATCCGTAACTCCTTAACTCCCCCCGTGAATGGCGGGAGTCACCTATCGCCTCTTTCCACCCTCGAAGGAAGTCCTCTCCTTGATCTTGCCCTTCCTCTACACAAACACCTACATCAAAGTCCCCAATGCATAGTCTACGGGAGTAGCACCACACATCAGCACTTCCGTGGGTACACACACTAATCCGTTCGGGAGTCGCTTCTAGGCTCATACAGTATAATCAAAAGAAACTTCCCTAAATTCTCACTTCCTATTGGCCACTCGAGAGACCACCTCTATCCCGCGAGGAAGAGAAGTCTGTGAGCTCAGAAGGATCAAATGGACCAGAGAAGGAACGCCGTCTCACTCGGCTACCTTCCTGTCCTCCCCCGCTGAGAGACTCCTTCCCGCTCCCGGCCTAGAGACTAGCCGCGGACACAGGTTATCCCCGAGGAAGGGTGGCAACCCTCTCCCTGGAGTCGGACCGAAGTCACACACCCGCACCCTACGTCCCCCACTGAACCGACGTCTAGTCCTAATTAGCCTATCCGGCACCACGCCTCTACTCGGCCCACCTCAAGCGTGGAATTACCCGGGTCCCAGGACAAGATCCACCTATGTATCGAAAATCGTTAGCCTATCTACTCCCTCCCCATTCTCCTCATTGTGAACTCTTCGCACTTCGTTCCCTTCTTCCTTTTTCGCCTCCCGCCTCTTTTCTCTCTTGGAATCATTGGAAGATCGGGGAATGTAAGAAAAAAGGGTGGGGAGAGCGGAGCTTTTAGGAAGAGGCTCTCAGGTGGGGTTGACAAGCATACGTACCTTGGGTCTTCAATACTCGTTATCATAGTCCCAATAATCCCCCAGTTCCGAGTCCGAGAGGTCGGCTAGACACCGTTCCACCCAGGAGCCGGCCTTCGATCCCTCGCCCAAGGTCCCCCAAGTATCCCCCTCTCCTTGAATGTCCTCGCTATGAAGGTCAGGTATCTCCCTCTCTCCCCTTCGCTTCGGTACCCGTAGCACCACTCTCCTTTCCCCCGAGCCCCGAACCGGTTCCGATTGAGAGTCTCGCTCCCTCGCGGGAGTTGCAACCGTCGTCAGCCCCCGTGGATCGAGAATCGAAACCCCTAACCCCTCTCTAGACACAATTTCTCTTGCGGGACTTCGCACCTGGGTAGGTGCCCTCCACAACCCGTGTGGATCAAGAACACTTGGTGACCCCCTCGGATCCCAAATAGACAGCGCTACCGGCCCCTCTCAGACCCCTCTCCCCGCTCCCTCTCTTTCTCTCCCCTTCTCTCCCCCT